ACCACTTAATTCTACTCTAAGGTATTGAATAGCAGTGTTCACAAAGCATCTACAGCCTGGTGTGTGTATGCTGCAGCCTGCCAGTAACCTGCAGTCACGGGGTCATTCAGTGACCCTGCTGCCCTGTCTGAAAGCACCTGCCTGCTTTTTTGTCCATTTTCCTTTCTTTATCTTACTTTAATTTCTGTTGTTCTAGTTTTCTTACTGTGAAATTATAAAGGTGCCCTTTAGTACATCTCTTTGCCCAAGCTTAGTCTCAAATAAGGAAACGCCTTGCATTCAGGCAAATGTGTCTTCTATACATTTCATTACAAATACACTATAGACACATACAAATACAGAACAAATAAACTTGTGTTGAATATAGCAAAGGTACAATGAGGTCCTTTTTAAAAGAAAACATGTTTTCATACAAAATGCACATTATCATATTTGCTTCTGTAGGTCTGTGTGTGTTGGACTGGTTTATTTACATTGGGTTTTAATAGTAATCTTAATACATTATATGATATATATATATATATATATACATTATATATATAATATATATATATATATTTATTATTATTATATATATCATGTTCATGCCTTTTGTTTCATAACCTGGAGTCCTAAACAGTGCTATAGCAGCAATGTTCAGAAATGGGTGATCTAATTGCAGTGCTCACAAAGCATCTCTCTCCCGGTGTGTTTATGCTTCGGCCTGCTGGTAACCTGCGAGTCACAGGGTCACCGTGCACATTAGATGTCAATTATACCTCCTCCATATGTCCCGCTCCACTCCGATTTATCTTCATCCATCCTGGTTCACAGCGTGACCTCCCTACAGGCTCAGCAGGGACAAACACATCAGGCCTTTGTGTAGCACGCACACAACACACACCTCTTGACTTTTAATAATGCTTTGTCCCATGCCAACACTTCTGCTCTGTCCGTCATAGTTGATCATAGATATGCTTTTGGGAAATCATTTAGCCCAGGGGACTCAATTACTCTAAGTTTGTATGATGTTGCTGTTAATGTTTTGCATTTACTCACTGATTCACTTCATGTATCTGCATACAGTCACATGACAATTATAGTACAGTTTAATATTTTTCATCCGATTGAAGTGAAATCGCAAAAAATAAATCACATCAATAATTTATATATGTCTCATAAATATGCTGCAAGATAAATGAGTCTCTTATCCATACATCCATACATCTAAATGTGTCATTGGACTGCATGCATGTTTCAAATAATAGAGCAGGAACTGGTGGCTGAGAGCCCTAATTAAGAAATTCCATAAAGGACATCAAACAAAATGTAGCGTATTGCTCACAGAGGCCCGCTTTCCCATCTGGCCAAAATGGCTATTGTGGCTCATTGTCTAAAAATAGGGATGGAGACAAATTATTATCATTTGCCAAAGCCCATGACAATAATGATGAATGAACACGTTTTTTCTCTTTTCTGCTATGCCCTCTGAAGTCATTGCTTAAGGCCTTTTTCTCTATTTCCCCTCAGTTCCCTCTCCTCTTCATATCTCACCTTTCCCAGCACCAACCATATGGTCTAAAAAAGATCTATTGAGGAACCTTCATCAGTACACTCTGAGATCATCCTTCCATTTTTTTTCTTTCACCTGTAAAAATCCAAAATAGTTCACTCTCCATTTCCAATTATCCTGCTCTACTATTTATTTATGCATGGGTAATGCGATGAGTACGGATACAGTATACATACACAAACTAAAAACAATGATTTAATGCAGGAATCATAGTGTTTATAGCGGATGAAACACGTCTCTAGACGGCCTATTTGACAGTTTTATTGCTAGATTAACCAGGATTTAGTAGCATTGTTAAAAGTGGCAGGTTAGGGTTTGCAGAACATTTCAATGGTTCAGGTTTCAAGTTTGTGGATTGTGTTCGTTTTCACGTAAAATGTTTGAAAAAGTCATTTTTAGATGTTTTGTAGAATTGAACCTTACAATTACCAGCAAGCTGCAGTTGTGTCATCTCTTGCTTCATTTGCAGAAAGGCTGAGGAGCAAGGCCATTTTTATGTTTTGTTACATTTAACAGTTTTACATGATGAAAATCTATGAAGTTTCCAAAACCTAAGAAAATATGAAGTGTTGTATTAACCAAAAATGAAGCCTCGATGGCACCTTACTTGTTTGTTATGCCCACTGTAAAGACACTAAGGATTGTGTCATTGTTATTTATTACTATACATAAGCATGACAATGGGTTTAATATTCATCAAATGGCACTTGGGTGAAATAATGGTGATTTAATTGCAGTGTTCAGAAAGCGTCTACAGCCCGGTGTGTTTATGTTGTGGCCTGCTGGTAACCTACGGGTCACTGGGTCATTCAGTAACCCTTCTGCCTGTTTTCTTTTTTTACTTACATACACTATGTGGAAACATTTGGTAAAACTTTTTTGCAAATATGTTTTGAAACATATTGTGTTTGTTAAATACAGAGTTACATCCCAGGTCAAATGTACATTATAGGGTCTTGAACACGTCGTTTTTTTCAGTGATTGTAATTGTTAAATGTCTGTACCCTTGTAAAAAAGTTCAGACTTGATCAGACAACAAAGTTTTATCGTATCGTAGTTTTGTATAAATATGCACATTGTCATATATCTTTGCTTCTGCAGGTGTGTGTGTGTGTGTGTGTGTGTGTGTGTGTGTGTGTGTGTGTGTGTGTGTGTGTGTGTGTGTGTGTGTGTGTGTGTGTGTGTGTGTGTGTGTGTGTGTGTGTGTGTAGGGAGTGGATGGAGAGAGGGAGCCGGGTTCAGAGGCAGTTCAACCGCACACGGGTTGACAAATTATTTGTGGAATTGTTGCATTCGCAGTCACTTAAATAGGAATCTGTCAGAGTGGAGGAGAGGGGCCGGCCTCACGGCTACAGCAAGACCCCGACCGGCTCCACTGTGCCCCCCCCTCCCCTCCAACCGCCAGGCACTCCTCCTCCCTCCCTTTTCACCTTCTTCTCCTCTGTGTCTCTCCCTATCTGCCCCCTCCTCCCTCCCTCCCTCTCACCCACCCTATGATGATGGATTGAGCCTAATGCAAATTTACAACCATTTTATATGTCGATGCCTCCCCCCCGGCCGGCTGCGGGAACATAGCTCAACATCATGCTTCCAAAATGTCCGCCTTGAAACAGCCGGCATCATCGGCCTCCTCTCAATCTCCAGGCTTCACAAATCTCAGCTGGATGGAGATTAATGCCGATGTGGGGCCCCTGATGGCCATGGTTGTGTATATGTGTGAGTGTGTGTGTGTGTCGCCATGTTTGTTTATGGCTATGTACATGGCAGTACGAATCCTCGATGGATACCGCGCTGAAGGAAGTCCCCACTTCTCCCATTTGACCCATTCTTTGTATCGTGATTGGCTTTCGTGTTGCAGGACGTTTCACGGTCTGGAGAGATGTATCCCCCCCAACATTGTTGTATATCGTCCTCCCTGATGGAGGGATAGAAAAAAAAGAAGAAGAAGAAAGGGGCCAGTTTTTCACCCTATCAGCTTGGAAAGGCAATGTTGTGCCCTTGTAATTGAGTAGGTACCTCATCTATCAACAGTGCCACCCCTTGATAATAAATATAGAGTACACAGACAGCTCCCCGGAGATTTAAAGAGAGGGTGTGTGAAGGAGTATGTGTGGGATTGTTTGTGCACGTCAGTATGTATGTGTGTTGAGAAGAAAAACTAGAACAGGTGCCTTCGGCCTGATGAACTACCTTCTGTGTTCTTGAATGAGTTCACGCACTGATCTCGTGAAACCCTCAAACACTTGTGTAAAATGCACCTTGATGGTCAGTGTGCGCACAGCAAGCCATGACCTTATTGGCGTTTTATGTCTTGTTCAAGACTTGTTTTGACATTTTGACATGTTTGACTCAGTTAACCAAATAAAGCAAGGTTTATTTTCTCACAAACAAACTTCCTGTTTGCTAACTCTGACAACCACAATGTTACTAAGCGCCAGTTGAAAATACCGGTCTACAGTGTCAACGTTTATTTCCGTCCTTGTAAATGAAGCTCCATGATCACTTACTAACAGAAAAGCTAGCAAATTGATTTTGGGATCTTACTTCTGGAACACTTGTCTTGCCTTTGGTGGAAGAACAACTTTCAATTTGCTTCATAATTGTGAACAGGGCATCATTTTATAACCTGTCCCCTTGCAAAATACTCCCATTATGAAAGTGCGGCTGGGAATCTAGATAGGTTCCTTTTTTGGGGTAAGCAGCATAGGCAGTTTGACATTTGCGCTTGGGGGGGCAAACCTTTTTTACTGACGTCAGTACACAGTCCCAACTATTGTGTGGGGTGTTATGGATACAGAAGCAATAAAACCAGCGTTCACCGCACTGAGTATGACTTTTCCACATACGAACACAACTCGTCTCGTCATGCACGCCTCATGCCCGCCTCATGCCCGCCTCATGCCCGCCTCATGCCCGCCTCATGCCCGCCGTACACACACACTCATATGGAAGGGGCGGTCTCTCCCCCCAACAACAGTGCATTATATCTGTAAAACTTATCATAACTGTGCACATCTTATACTTATTTGATAACTACTATATCCCTTGGTTACTTGAACACGCTACAATAATATTAACCAGTGTCCTACTCAGTGCAGAAGTAGACGCCTTAAACGTCCCAGAAATTGGACGTTTTAAAAATCGCCGCATATCTTATTGTAATACAATAGCTGAATCACTTGTATGTAAAAAAAGCGAGGGAACTTGTGTTCTTAACCTCATACGTCACAAAAAAATAAATAAAATAAGTGGCTGAAATATGTTACAGCATTACTACTTCTAAAACTGTTCCAATACAAATATTTCATATATCAATATTTTAATAGATGTAATATAATGATTGTTACAATACAAATCTGAATAATATCATGTTTTGTTTGAAATAATTTCATTTTTGAGCAGTCACATGTTGTGACGTGTGTGTGTGTAGCGTAATTATGCTGGTTACTGCTGCTGCTGCTGCTGCTGCTGCTGCTGCTGCCACTGTTAGGCGGAGTGTCCAGTCCCAGATCCTTACTAGGGAGCGTCCCTGCACTCTGCTTGGGCGTCTCTGCTATTGGGTACGGGAACACCAGAGACGGATCAATGCACCCTGACGCGGCTGTGTCGAGGTCTTGCAGGTAGCTGCTGTTTAGCCTCCATGCTCTGGTGGGCTCCGGGCAGAACACCTTCCCCAGCTTGGCTGCGGTGGAGAAGCCGCTCCACATGCAGTCCTGGATGATGAGAGATTTAAGGAAGGTCTGGGAGTAGTTGACCACGTCGTCGCCCAGACACTCGGTCACCATTTCCAGCTGATCCGCCGTGGAGGGAAAGAGGCTTGACAGGGACGGGCTCGGGGAGAGGGGAGGGGTCGGCTGGAGCTGCTGAGGGTAGAAATCCTCCTCCTCGTTGTCATAGTAGAAATACGGTTGAAGAGAGTCGTAGTCATCGTTTTTACTCGCCAAACTTGATTTCAGCGGCATTTTGAATTTGTTGTATTTTTCCTTATCGTGAAGCTGATTGAAAGAAATAGAAATAAAGGTTGATTAGATGTTGATTCTAAAAAGGTCTGCAGGTTCAATGCAGCTGCTTGGCACTGATCCTGCTCTGCAACATTAAGTGCAACAACATCACATGGTCACTCCCAGGGCCTCCCTCCCTACAGGCCGATCATGCAGGCTGCATGGGGCCTCACATTGCGCAGCGGGTCTCGGTTTATGAGCTCGGCTTGTGCACAGTTCTCCGCGCACCCCCCGCTGACACGCGAGAGTGCGAGTGAGAGGTGACAAGGGGAGCACCTCTGTAACCCGACACCGGTGCAATGAATCGACATCTGACCAATCACAGCTTTGATACGGCCGTGCAGGTGAAGAGATGTCGGTGAAAAGAAAGTTTCAGTTCGAGATGCAGTTATTTCCAGCATTCTTTATTTAACATTCATTCAAGTATGTGATGCCTTTAGCAGGATTTGGATAGTGTTCGGGTTTGATAGCATTTTGTATTGTATCTGATCCATATCAATCCATATGTTTGAATTGTTTATTGAAACTATTGAGGATTTGGGTGAAACAGCAGATAGCCTTCAATGGGCGCTATTATTAAACCAGTATTGAACTAATCCCTGCAGGGCCCAGGAGAACATGTCATGTTGAGTCTGTAAAGGTGCACTTGTTACACCTTGGCACGGCAAAAGTTACTTTATGGAGCAGCAAGCCAAAAAAGAGCAACAGCATAACTGACACAGCAACAACATGGGAATGACGAACCTGGGGAACCCTGCAACACGTTTAGATGAGGACCCGGTTTTTGGGATGACGGACAACCTTGTGTGGGCGCAGTATGTGTCATCTAGTTGAGATTAGATGCTGCCCTTTGTCCGGGAAAGAGTCTATTTGTTACATAGTCTATTTGGTTTAGTGCCAGGACATGGCCTGAAATACAATGCAGTCGAGAAGCTGGTTTTTCATTTGCTGAATACCACCCAAACACAACCTTGGATGTTATTGTGGTTTCACACCAGCTGAGACAGAAAAGTCATCAAACACCCACTCTCTTGCCTTGAACGCAAAGGGCATTAAGTAGCTCTATCAAGCCATGGGCTGAATCGGACATAACACAACCTTGGTACTAGAGAGCTGAAGTGTGTTTAAATCCACTCCAAATGACAAAATAATGTCAGGGTTGCAGTGCATGTGTGAAACGTGGAAGCATCTTATGGCCTCCTATGTAATATGATCCTCCTTAAGCATTGAAAAACTGCCACCAATCAGGTGAAATCTACACAAACAGTAGTAACTCTATAGGTTTCTTCAGGTGATCGGAATAGTCATTCGATAAGTTGCAATGGTTTAATTGGGTATCCGAAAAGATGTTAGCAAAATATTTCATTTGACTATCCTTAGAAACATGTATTCCCCCATGATGTTACTGGTAAAGCTGTGAACTGCGCAAAAGAGGTGTTTATGCTGGGAATCCTTCACATTTAAAGACATGACTCCCATTGGGTGGAACCAGATGTGCTAAATGCCATGCCAATGAACAGAGAGCTGGTGGTAGATGTGTTGGAAGTATATGGTCGTTTTCTAGGGGGGTGTATGCTAGTCTTAATTGCGGCTAGAAAATGGCGTGTCAAACGCTTTGTGTGTGTGCGTTGGAGGAGGGGTCAGAGGGTGTCATACTTGTGTTTACACTGCTCGCGAAAAGCTTCACTCCTAAAATGTTAGCGTGCCTCTTCATTACCGGGATTAGGCTAATTAGCATCAACTCACAATGTGTGCGTGGGCACGTGTGTGTGCGTTTACTTGTATTTTCTGTATGTCACGACTTGTTATGGATGCAATGCAGGAGCTGTCAGGCAGCCTGTAGTCAAACATGAAGGCTGGCAGTTGACAAAAAGCACATCCTGTCACAGTGATACATGCTCCTTCTCTCTCCATGTCTCTGGCTAATTGGGCCCTCTGGATACCTCCACTCCCGCGGATGTGTTTGTATACAAGCATATACAGTGATGTATGGCAGGGTCGGGAGCATACAGACTATTGTGTACACTGTTGTCAAAGCCTGCTTGGGAACCCTTCACTTTATGAGGCGATCTTACAGTGCTACTCCATATCTGAATTCACTTGGCTACAGCTCTTACTTGTACAATCATTTGCTACTGAAACTTCCAAACCACTTACAACAACAGTACCAGTTAAAGCAATCGCTAAGGAAATGATTAGACATATACTTAAGTGTCATTAGCTTATAGGAACTCTGGTTTTCTTGTTCTCTTGATTTTTGATAATATTTGTTACTTATGTGATAAAAACTATTTTCCTCATTTAAAGGGGCCATATTATGCTCATGTTCATGTTCATATTAGTATTTTCTGCCTCTATTGTGAAATGTCTCCATGCTTTAATGTTCAAAAAGCTCTTTATTTTCCTCATACTGCGTGTGTCATGATTGGTCAACCGCTAAGAGATGTCCCGCCCTTTAGCGTAACACGTACATTAGAGGCTTCTCAATACTCAAATTTCCCCTCCTCGACTCCCCTCCTCGGTTCCCCTCCTCGAGACTTAGACCCGCCCACAGGAGATGCGAGCGGAGGACCGAGGAGGGGAACCGAGGAGAGAGGAGGGGAAGCATCAGACGTTTAAAGAAATGAGAACTCCTCTCCTCTGAGCGGTCATTTTAAAGAGACGTCCGTTCATTATTACGTGGCAACAGCTGCATCAGCTGTCGAGTGTTTTGTCATAGCGCTGTATCTCTGTTAGATCAGCTGAACATTGTTCCCCCACATATTTACTTTGAATTCATTGAGAGTGCGGTATAATGAGACAATAACAGGCTACAGATGCGGACACACACACACAAATATATTTATATAAATATATACAATTTAAAGTATGAGAGCACTCTCATAATAACGTAACACAATCAGAGACTGGATATATCCCCCCCTCTCTCTGGTCGCTGAAATGGGGAATTTAAATTACTGGCCAAAAGTTGTATTTACAAGTATTAAAAGTAAGCAGAGGAAACCAAACCAACTGAGACCCGTCTGTCCGCCGCATTTACGCACTGTACAACACACACCTACACACTGTACAACACACACCTACACACTGTACAACACACACCTACACACTGTACCACACACACCTACACACTGTACCACACACACCTACAGCTCCTAAAGCATAAGCCGTTGTGTATTTTATTATGTGAAGCAATGGTCTTAGAAAAATATCGACTCTTTGTTTGTAGATATCTACTAAACTAAAGCAAATAAAGAGAGTAGGCCTGTTATACTGAGTGATATATATTATACACACTGCTCTGCTTTCTGCATGGACCGTACAGCTGTTCTCTCTGGAAACATCGCGACGCGATGAAAGCAGTTTCTAAAATAATATCCAGGGGATGCATGCATAGCTGTCATTGGCTGAGATAAGTCCGGCCGTGCGTCACGCCTCCACCGTTCCCGGAAATGCATCCGTGGAGGAGCCGTGGAGGAACCATCAGTGTATCCTCGGTTATAGCTCCTCCAGAGAGCCTCCTCGACGCTCGATGCTCGGTCCTCGGTGTGCATTTAGAGAAATGAGACGTTCTTCAAAATGGCGCGCTGAAATTCATTTCCGGGTCACTACCCGAGGACCGAGGAGTCGAGGAGGGGAAATTTGAGTATTGAGAAGCCTCTATTGTGTCAGAGCGTAACCCAATAGAAGCGTAGTGATGTCATTATGTGACCGAAGTAAACAAAGGAGTCCAATGGACACGTTTCAGGCAGGGGGGGGGAGTGTGTCGGAGAGAAACTCCCTCTGAAGGCAACTTTGGGAATTTAGTCTTTGCAGACCCTTTACATGCACTAAAATGTATTACATGACATGTCACTTGTTAGACGCTTTTATCCAAAGCGACTTACATACTCAATACTGTGGGCAATCCCCACAGGAGCAATGTGGGGTGAAGTGTCTTGCCCAGGGACACAACGACATGCTGACTGCAGTGGGATTCGAACTTGCTATCCTCTGATTCGAAGATCAGCGCACTAGACCACTGAGCCACAGCCTCCCATATAACAAACTATAGTAAATGGAAACCCCCACAAGTATTATTAGGGCCCTTTTTAAGCTACAATTTGAGAAGTTTGACTCATTCCAAAGGGACAGCCATGTAAATACCCAGGGGGCATAACGAGATGGACGACAGGGGAAGAAAAAAGAAAAAAATAATAATTGTAAATACTGTGTCACTAAAAACGTCTTCCCCCTCTCGCTCTTTCTGTCACCCCCATCTTTATTTTTTAGCTTCGTCTATGAAAAAAAAGTATTAATTTATTAAATTTCCTCTCCATTTAACGACCCCATTTGGAGAATTTGCGTTTGATCCTCACCGGCTCGGCGAGGCATGCAGTTGGCAGTACGGGAGAGGGAGGAGATGGATCCGTCAGCATGTCACATAAATATCTTATTAGCCAGTGATCTTATCATCATAAAGCAGCCCATTTATACAGTTAGGCATGTCATGTTGGTCAATTGCACAAAAAAGGAAAAAAAAATCAACTGCATGCAATATTAAACCCTCAAATCTCATGCCAACACCATTAGGGGAGTCTGGGAGACTCTCCTCAGTCTGTCTACCCTCTCTCTTCTTCTCCTGGATGTGTCTGTGTCATAAATCCCCAGCTTCTGGAATTCTTTTCATCCAACTGCAGAAGAATTTATTTTTGAGTGGGGTTAATGGCAGTTAGTCAATCAGCAGAGGTGACAGGCCTTCTGCTGCTAACGCTTAACACACATGCACACACCACACCAAGGAGAAGATGTTTTTATAATTACTAGGGCTGTCAAGTTAACACGTTAATAACGCGTTAACGCAAACAAAAATTAACGCCACTAATTATTTTAACGCGATTAACGCATGTGTATTTTTTGTCCTCTGCCGCCCCGTAGTTTCAGAGCGCATCGAGTTTAAAATACCATCTACAAGCTGATGC